GAAAAATGGACTAAAACAGTTATTCCAAAAAAAAAAAAGAATATTAAAAAGTTGGGGACAAAAACGAAATAAGTATAAAAGTTGGAAGGGTAAAATAGAATTTAAATATTAAAAATATATCCACTATAAAAATTGAACATTTTATTTGAAATTGGTAGTGACCCACAGCGATGCCTATACACACTTGTTGAAGTTTCATTGCGTTTGATAACGTCTTTTTATATTTTCAAGAGAAAAAAGAAAAGTCTTCTGGTGAGAGTTATTATCATTATTATTTTATTTTATTTTTATAATTTTGGTGGGAGATTTCAAATAAGGTAATTAATGATGTCTTTTCAATATASGAACATGCTTTATCTACACTTCATAATGCCTTTTTTTTTTTTTGATAAAACATGATGAAATTGTAAAAATAAACATGAATATCGTGTGTTTTTTTAAATTTCTAATATTTAATTGGTCAAAAATACTCTTGGATTTGGTTCATTTTGGTTTTTTTCTGTATGGTTTCAATTTTAGTTTCTGTTCTTTCGAAATATCAATTAGTTTCCATTAACGTATGAAATTTGTGTTAAAATTTTACAAATTAAAACTAATTTAGTCGCCTTTTAAGAATATAGAGATCAAAATAGTATTTAAATATGTTAATAATTATGCATACAGACTCAACAGATAAATTATTTAAAGTGTTATGATAAAAATATGTACCATATCACAAGAAAAATGGTAGTTGCTTTCAAAGGGCTATTAAGGAACATGGTAATTCAATTATTAAGAAAAAAGTAGAGGTTTTTATAGGAAGCAATAGAATCCCCACAAATATTCCAGACAGTTCTTGTCAGGATTTTCCAATTTCCAATTTCCAATAAATGAAAATTTTGCATTTCACATCAATTGTGCTGGTTGAATTTCGATATCGTTTAAATTGTGCAAACCTAAGTTTAATTCAACAGTAATTGACACTTGTCTTTGATCAATAAATCATAAATTCGAATTTTCCATTTCACTTGTCGTACTAAAAAAAATTGAATCATATTGATCGTATTCCAATTTGGGTTTGAAATTTTTAACTTAATATTTTTTTTAAAGAAAAAAGGAATAATTTTTTCTAGGAAAAAGTAAAGAAGATGGAATTGAGATATAAAGTTAAATTTTGTGGTGGACAGAAAATGGAAATTAATTGGATTGTTGACCCTTTCTTCTTCATCAGTTTTTGCAAAATTTCAGTGGCTGCCAGTTCCCAGTGGTACCTTCAATGGGGAATCTAATGATGATTTATACACCAACCCAATAGGATTCCTCAACACAATTTATCTCATAATATTTCTTTTAAGAAAAAAAAAATTAATTGATTTGAAGTGTTTGATTTTAAATTTGAATTCTCTTCCTCTTGATCACCTTTGTCAAACGAAAGAAAAAAGAATCTTGAGAAATTATTTGTATTTAAGTAGCTAGAATAATGTGACTAATGATTATATACCATTTGATGTACGAGAGATAATTTAGAGGCGTATTTCACATTATTAAGAATAGATCAATTTAGAATTTGCAACAATCACGTTGAATAATTTTTTCTCGAATATATTATTATTTGTTTAAATGATGTATTTTTAGATTTCAATATTGCAGGTGCTATCATTTTTAATTTTATGTTTCTAAAGATTATGCTAGTACAATTTAATTTATAAATTTTTTACCCCTCTTAAAAACATATTTGAATTCTTAGCAAATTAAAANCCAAATTGGGCTAGATTTTGAAAAAAAAAAAGTATTCATAAAAACTATACAATCAAATAAATAAATACAAAAAAATCAAAATCGAAATCGAGTTAGTTATCAAACAGGTTAGTAATTGTGAGGTGAAAATTTGAACCTCCAATAATTAACGGGAAAGATTTGCTGTTGACCATTAAACTAAAAATGGTCATGTTTATTTAGGTAAACAAGTGGTTGAAGCTATGTATCAGAGTCTAAAGTCGAGTTTGTAAATGAGATTAATTAGATTTTTGTTAAATGACTAATGAAAAATGGATAACAATAACTAATTTATATCTTTCCCCTTTTCCCCTATTGGGAAATTAATGGACTAAAATACCCAAAATAAGTATAAAAGTTTAAAATCCAAAACAGAATTGGAAGCTAGCTAGATTATATTACTGAAATATATGAACCTAAAATAAAATTTGCAAACGTACCCTTTAAATCTTAAAAAATAGCAATTATATCCTCTTCTCGCTTTATACATTCATTTATTTCGTTGGTTTTTATTTCTCCCTGTTTTGTGGTTTTTAGCGAAGCGAAGGGGGCGAGAATGAGACAAAATTACTTTGAAAAAAGTAGAGCTTCCTTGTTCCTTCGTTCATCATGGGGGAGTTTTCAATTGAATTTGACAAAAAATAACAAAAAGCCAATAATAATAATAATAAAATAAATAAAACAAAATAGTTCGAAAGAACATGTGGGGTAGACAATATAATACAATTTTATATCTCTACTTGTTTTGAAAATTTAAAATTTCTTATTTTTCTATAATTGAATAGACAAGGGCAAAAGAAAAAAAAATGTGCCAAGTTTATTTTGTAAAAATGACGTTTGTGGATGCTTCAATAATCTTAGATGAGTTAATATTGTTAATTATAATTGGTGGGGTAGAAAAACAACCTTGACACATGGAGAACGGAAGAAGGTTGGAAATGACAAAGCTTCACCTAAGGACCACTTTCGAAAGGACCAACCTCCCATACTTAGTCGCCTATGTAGCAAAAATACTCTCACATAGGCATTCGACAAACCAACCTTCGAGACAACATCAATAACTACCTGTTGGATCCCCAATCTATAAATAGAGGATCTCACTTCCGCATCAATATCACATTCTAGTTTGATCTCTGAACTTAAATTACAAGTACACTTAAGCTCTCATAGTTGGAATACTTTGACTAGGTTTAATCTTGACCGATTATATATAATATAAACAATAATAATAATGATAAATTATGTCAAGCATGAATATAATTCGATTGGTCAAATTTTTAAATTCTCATTTGAATTGTAATATTAATTAGAAAAGAAAAAGGAAACTCTAGTTTTTTTTTTCCATTAATTTTTTAAACAAATTAATTGGTTTATATTTAATTTCCATTTGAATTTACATAAATATTTATATTGCTCAATGTTGAATTTGTAGTTAGTAAATAATATAAAAATTTGATAAACTCAACTTATATATCAAACCAAAGATTAAATTAATTTGAATTAAATATTAGTTCAATGGTAATTGACACCTATCTACAATTAAGATATCATAAGTTTGAATTCTCACCTCCACTTATTGTAAAAAAAAAGTATTGTCATGCAAGGAGGATTTATTAGAATATCAATAAATTACAGTAACTTTTTCATTAACACATCTTAATAAGTACAATTAATTTAAATATTTCAAATATTCTTATAATTTATAACTTATTTTTTATGAACAGTTCAAAGCCAATCAATTATTTTTTATTTTTTATTTTTTATTTTGCAAAGAAGAGTGCTGAGGCTGGGCGCTTGATCAAGTGGAGGAAAAACTCGCTACACCAACTTACTTCTAGTCTAATTTCATATTTTTAGACAAAATGGAGTAAGTTCTAAACTCAATATGTTTTACAAGATTAAAAAAAATAAACTTATATTAAAAAATAATTTTATCTTAAATCACACTATATTTTTTCAATAATAATCCATACCAAGTAAATAACATATTTATGCCAATATATACGTAGTTCAACTAGTTAATACATATATTATTGACCAAAAAATCAAAAGTTTAAATCCCTACCCGACTACTCCCACATGTTAAACTAAAAATAAATTACAATTACAATTATCAATTTATTAAATGTAACTTTTAAACCAATTATCTAATCCATGAACTAGAATATTCATTAAAAAGTCAAGACAGCTTAACAATCTAGCCCGCCAAAAATTTATTATACTAGTATACACAATCTACTAATATAGGCTAATCTATAACATTGACAAACGATCTCCGTACCATGAATCAAGTCATTAAATCAATTTACATTAAGAAAGTTCCCAATAAATATCTAACTTGAAATTCTCCTCTCTAACAATTTTTCGTGAAATTTTGATATTTAAATATATTAAATCAATGTTTTACATTTTTATATGGCACAATTTGTTTGGACTAAATTGAAATTTAACTAAAATGATAGGAATCAAGTTTTATATATATATATATATATATATATATATATATATATATATTCTAAACTTAGGATAAAGTATATATATAACTTAGGATAAAAATGAAATATTCAACACATTACTATCTTATCCTTAAAAAAAATCTTATCTAAAAATGTCATTGGGTGGGGCCACATGGCAATAGGACTGTGGAGATAAAAGAAGACAAAAAAAAAAAAGAAGAAGAAGAAAAGAAAACTCAGATTTTTTTTGACGAGAAACAAAAATCAGATTTGATGGGAGGACAATCGTAGGTGGTTGATATTGGGGGGAAGTTTTCCATAGTATTATGAAAATTTTTCATACTATTTGTATTCAATTCATAAATAAAGCTACAAAATAAAATAATATATCAAATGGTAAAGGAAAAGAATATGATTTTTTAAAAAATTTATGATATCATGAAAATATAAATATTCTTAAAAATTATTTATAAAGACAAAATTACAGCGTGAACAAAACATTTGCGACGGTACTAAGAAACTCTTTTATATTGGAGACATCCACTTGTCAGCACTTTCTGAAGCGTCGGCTGATCTGGCACGAGAGAAAAAAAGTCAAAGTTTTGATGACGTGTACACCGCCACTAAACGATGTCGTTTCTTGTAGGCGCCCGCCACTTCCTCCAGGCGCGGGGCCCACCTGGCCCCACCCCTCGCGGTCTCGCTTCCTGGCGGTGTCAGTTCGGTTCCGTTTCGTCTCCGTCTTCCTCTAATCCCTCTCTCTGTCTGTATATTATGAAGACCCAGAAACGAATAAACTCCGCATTTTGAACAATTCTTGTTTTTGTTCTTGTTCTTATTCTTCTATTTCTTTTTTCATTTTATTTTCCCTATTTCCGTATCCAAATTCTCCATCCCTGTTTTCGCCGTCTGCTCTGCTCTTTCTTTCTCTGCTCTCAGCCGCAGATGCTTTCAACTGAGCATGGCCACAGATTCTCCAAGTTCCGTACTGTTTTTGCCAAAATTTAGAACGACCCAGCAAGCAATAGCCCTCGAACTCTTCTGGGTTTTCTTTAATTTCCGAAACTGACCTTCTCTGCCCCCATTAAAGCGACCTGGAAGCTCTCGAGCTAAATGGTTTTGAAGATCGGAAACTTCGAGCGGTCCACCGCGGCGGTGGAGATGGGATGGATTATGCTTAGAATCGATTACTCCAGGCTTTTCTGGGTTCTATTCCGCCATTTCTCCTACGAAAACCACGACGGAAAGCCGCGCATTTAAGTTCCTTCCCTCCGCCACCACCGCCGCCGCCGCCGATTTTAATACTTTTCTATCGTTTCCCCCCTTTTTCTCTCCCTTTTTTTCCCTCTGTTAAGCCCTTGATTTGTTCCTTAACCATGTTCAAGAATACTCGAGCTGGGAAACCCGGCAGCAACTCGGAATTTGGATACGCTGAGACCGATCCGACATGTCGTTACGGCCGCGTGAGTACCATACCGTCGCCCTATCTTGTTTGATTTTTTTTGCCCTTAATTGACACTTTTTGTGATTAGTATTTGTTTAATCGTAGTAGACTGGGTATTATGGTGAAAAGTTCTTGCGAGAATCTAAATATCTAATTCGTGTGGGCTGTGCTTATTATATGTGCAACTTGCTAGTGATGGCCTTTTGGTTTTCTTTGCTGCATGGAGCTTTCTTCCATCGTACTTTAATTAATGCTAATGGGTTTTATTAAATCTTCTTTTGATGACTAATTTATAGTTTCTGTGTTGTCTTTGAGTTTACTCCATGGGAATATTTTAAAGGTCGTTGATGATTATTGATTGAGCTCTCCTGAATCTAAGTGCTTTCCATTTTCTGTTTTTCTTTTTTTTTACTGGAAAATGAAGGCTTAGTGGTTTCAGTCTTTAAGTAAGAACAGTTTGCGTCTCTTCTCGGAAGAGAAGAACTGAAGAAGCTCGAAAATAACTGTTGCTCTGTTTGGAGTTGTGAGGAAAAATTAACTCTGTGAGGAAAAGAGTAATCTTGATGTGCCAAATATGGCCTAGTGATGCAACAACTAGATTTTGAGTTAATGAATGATTAAGTTACGTGAACATATATGGCTAATTTTTACATGAAAATATATTTAGTTTGAAGAAGTTCTGGGGAAAGGGGCCATGAAGACAGTGTACAAAGCCATTGATGAGTTTCTTGGAATAGAGGTGGCGTGGAGTCAGGTGAAACTCAATGAAGTTCTCCGATCGCCCGAGGATTTGCAGCGGCTGTATTCGGAGGTTCACCTACTTAGCACACTTAAACACGAATCGATCATGCGATTCTACACCTCTTGGATTGATGTTGAGCGCAAAACCTTCAACTTCATCACCGAACTGTTTACTTCTGGAACACTCAGAGAGTAAGTTTCAATCCAGAATGATGGAGGTTTTGGTTTAATCTGACGGTAAATAAGAACCTTCTTCCTGGTTCCTTCTGCAGATACGTGAAGAAATATCAGCAAGTCGATATCAGAGCCATTAAGAGCTGGGCATGCCAGATTCTGCAGGGGCTTGTTTATTTGCACGAGCACGACCCTCCGATAATTCACCGAGACTTGAAGTGTGATAATATATTTGTAAATGGCCATCTTGGGCAAGTCAAGATTGGTGACTTGGGGCTTGCAGCAATACTCCATGGTTCCAGATCTGCTCACAGTGTTATAGGTTAGGATAGTTCATTGTTCCATTACCAAGGATTCTAATACTTCCGATCGAAGACTAATCTCGAGCTTTTGTGTTTCTTTTTGGTTTTTTTTTTTGCAGGCACACCGGAGTTCATGGCCCCAGAGCTATATGAGGAGCATTACAATGAGCTAGTTGATGTCTACTCATTTGGCATGTGTGTTCTGGAGATGCTTACTTCCGAGTACCCATATAGCGAGTGTACTAATCCTGCACAGATTTACAAGAAAGTCACGTCGGTAAGAGAACATGGGTTGAGAGTCGATGTAGGTTACGTAAAGGAACAACTTTCTCACTCCTGTATTACATTTTCTTTGTCTAGGGGAAGCTGCCAGCAGCATTGTACAAGATTCAAGACGTGGAAGCGCAGAGATTTATAAAGAAATGCTTGGTACCGGTTTCGATGAGAGCGTCTGCAAAGGAATTGTTATCTGATCCCTTTCTCATGGCTGATGGAGATAGACCTTCGTTGAGAGAGAAGAATCAAAACCAGAAGCCCTTTCTAAATGCCAAAGAGATGGAGAAGTTGCATTTAGGTGAAGGTTTAAGCAGGACAAACATGACAATCACGGGGAAGCTGAACCCTGAAGATGATACCCTCTTTCTCAGAGTTCAAATTGCAGATAAAGATGGTAACTTTTCGCATTTACCCCACCCGAGTGAGTTGATTTTATTGTCGAAACCTGATGCATTTACTTCAAAATTTACCCATCTGCAGGCTCTCTTAGGAACATATACTTCCCCTTCGACATAGTGAACGACACCGCAATAGATGTGGCAATGGAAATGGTGAAAGAGATGGAGATCTCCGATTGGGAGCCATTCGAAATAGCAGACATGATCGAAGGAGAAATATCGGCTCTGGTTCCAAACTGGAATAGAAGTGAGTTGTCCAACCATAGCCTCAGCTTCAGCTATGCAGAAGAAGATGATGATGCACCTCATCATAATTTCCGCTCCGTCTCCTCGTCATCCCAAGCGACAACTCTGGGCTTCGCCACCTCCCCAAGAACAAATCAAAACATGTCAGATGGTTTTAGTTGGTTCCCAGGTAAAGCCCGGGATTCCATTTTGCTGGTTTCAGTTGGTTATATCGTTGCCATCAAACATGTATAGTTAGTTTCGGCTTAAATTTTTGACCTGTCACTGCAATACTATTTGCAGATGATGCACTTGACGACAGCAGCTCACAGTGCTCATCAGCGTCGGAAAAATACTCCAACTTGAACTACGTCAGCAGCGACGAGTACGAGACAAGTATGAGTTCGGTCCGAATAGATCAATATAGCAACATCAACAAGATTCACAACTCCTCCAGATTTTGTCCCAATGAGAACCGCAAAAACAAGGATTTCTTGTCTGGAATTCTGTACAAGCAGAGCCAATGCACGGTAGGGTCATCTCAGGTAGCTGCAGCCTCTGGCCGTAAAGACAAGAGGGGAATGGATTCCCGTAGATTAACAAGAAACAGATCGCTAGTCGATGTACATAGCCAATTGCTGCATCGATCATTGGTCGAGGAAGTGAATAGGAGACGGTTGTTCAAGACGGTTGGAGCGGTCGAGAGCATTGGGTTTCAAGCACCATGTGAGGTTTCTTCCAGCAAAAGGGTGTCAAGCAGGCATACGGTCGGGAATCGAAGTAGCGATGTAGTGAGAACGAGGAGAAACGACGATATTAGGCAAGATGTTGGAAGGAGAACATGAAAAATGAAATTGTCTCCTTCATGGTGACTCTAGAAATGTGGGAGCTAAGGGCTGGTTTGTAAATAGTGGAAGCTTTGGGTGAAGGTGAAAACTTGGTAACAACTTAGGATATACAAAAATGATCATGTTTTGTATGTAAAGTGTGTGCTTGCATTACCAAGATGAAATTGCCTAGCTCCTTTTTGAAAAACAATGTTGTTTGAGAAATTTCTATAAAGTTTCAGAGTAGTCATCACATTGTAGTTCATAGTATGTCCATCAAAGGGTTAAAATATTTTTAAATAACAAATTTGGTTTGACTGGTTTGCTAAAAGTTTGAATTTGGTCCTATAATTTTAGAAGTTTTAACTTAGCTTTATGGTTTGTGTTTATTTTGAATTTTGTTTATATATTGTTATTATATTGAAAATTTTCTGTTTTCACATGGTAATTTTCTATTTAGGTATTGTATTAGTTGAGAATATTACGGTTTAGGGCTAAGAAAAAAAAAGGGTGGATTTTTCAAGTAGGTCAAACATAATTTAGGCACTATGGGTGAGATTTAATCAAATAATGGGGATGAAATTGAAATTAAGTCCAAATTATAACGACCCAATTAAAACTTTTAAAGTCACAACGACTCACTTGAAACTAAGCTTAAAGCATGAGAACTATATTGAAATGAATTTTGCCCAAACTAAAATTGTAATTTAACTAATAATATTTAACGCATCATAGATTGTTATCGAAATAAGTGAAAGAGTAAAACTAAAGAGTTTAGAAGGAATGAGTTTAAACTATGTTCATCGTCTACAAAAACTACGATTTTCCTTGACTACTTAAGTTGTAGTATTACACGATAGTTCGTGGGATTAATCGAAATATATATAAACTGATTCAAATATCAATACAAATCAAAATAAATGGCCGATGGAAGGAGCTAGGAGATCTCTATTGATTGATGTAGGTAAGTTTTCTTTTATACCAATTCTCAGACTAATAATTGATCGACATATATTGATTTTATATTATAGCCATGATCGATGAATTAAGAAAAAAAAAACAAGAATTATCCAATAATGTGTGTTTTAATTTTTCTTCCTACTTTATTTTTTATAAATATCATATTACAAATTTAGAAGCATATATTCAAACTTGGGTTAGAGCCCAATAAAAAGGTTGGTAGGTTCCATCTTCTATTTTCGGATTTTATTTTATTTTAGTGTACTATTTTTAAGAGTTTATTTAAAAAGAGAAAACAATTTTTAAGAGTTGGAAAAAGAGACATTAGGTAAATCAGACAAAAATGTTTTCTTAACTACTAGTGTTACGTAGTAAGTCATCCAAATTGCCTTTGACACTACAATTCAACAAAAAAGACAAAGCTGTCTAATTTAAGACTAAACAATAAAAATAACGTAATTGATAATGTTCCATGACTAATTAAAAATATACAATTGCTATCGCCACAAATAAGAAAGCCAAATTCCATCATTCCATCAAATAAACATATTCAAAATTTAGACAATTTTCAATAATTTCTTGAGAGTATAAAACAAAAATATACAACTTCTTCAACTGTAGCTTAATTGATTTAGATATATATCTCAAGTCAAAAAGTTGTGGGTCGTTCGAATTTCCATCTCCACATGTTGTTGTATTAAAAAATAAAATAAAAAATCATAAACTTTCACGTTGTTCAATTTTGATTTCCAAAATTTTAAAATGTTTATCTTAGTTCTCAACTTTTAAAAAATAACAATTTTTGTTTCTAAACTTTAGAAAGGTCTATTTTAGTCTTTGAGATTTTAAAAAATAATTGATTTTGGTAACTAATGATTTTCTTAGCCAACCAATAAATTGATTATGATACAAATCTAGTTAATTATGTACAAACTCAAAAACACGATTAAAGTGTTACATTTTTGTTGACATGTCAATTCTATATGTTCATGGGTTCAACATGGAATACGAGGGGTAAATCTACATGCGCATAGCATCAAAAAAAAACTGACAAAATATAGAAAATATGAACAAAATATCACTAACATGAACATAATAGTAATAATAATATTTCTAATAACTCACTTAGAAACACACAAAATGCTTATTTGTTAATTTAAATATTTATTATGATTTTTGTATTATTTCTATAACATTTCTAGAAATATCCATCGATATTGACAATAATTTTATCACTGCATTCATCAATAATTTCATACATATATTTATACGTACCGACATTAGAATCAAAAATAAAAATAATTATTAATTTTTTTAAAAAAATCTAGACTAAAATAAATATTTTGAGTGTGGAAGAATTAATATAAATTAAGGAATGATTAAAATGTGTGAAGTATTATTGTAAATAAATATAGGAGAGACAGAGAGAAGCTAATGGGATGCCACTTTTCTTTGACTTCCAACAACGTGAAGCCCACAACCACTTGCTTTTGCAGCACCACCTTCTTATTTTTCTTCTTCTTCTTCTTCTTATTTTTCTTCTACTTTAGAAACCAAATTTTGGCATATTGCCTCTCTCCTTCTGTTACAAGAAAATCTACCAACCATTTCCCATAATTTCTTCAACCACACTCTTTTCTGATATCTCTTAATCATTTTAGACATGAAAGTGGAATTAGCTGGTCTAGTTTCCTTCAAATCCAAGCTTTCTAAGCCATGTCGAAAGCTCCTCCATGTCTTCAAATTCCGAATGAGGAAGCCCTTCTCAATCAAACCGCTCTGGGCTCGTCGTCAGCCACGCAGCTCCAGAGCCACGTCTTCCAAGCCTCCTAGGAGAACTTGGCCCTGGCTCTGCTGGCTTCGAAGAGTGGGGAAGATGGAAAGCGTGAGGGAATTAAGGGGTGGTGGGGGCGGCTCGGACGGAGCCCGGGAGAAGCTGCTGTTTCCGACCCCCGGGAGGGGACGGAAGGCGGCCGAGGCGGTGGAGGAGGAGGTGGAAGATGCTTGTAGGAGCTTTGAGAACTATTTGGTGGAGATGATAACTGAAGAAGGGAAGGTGAGGGATTTGATGGATGTTGAAGAGCTCCTGTACTGTTGGAGGAATTTGAAGTGCCCTGTGTTTGTGGATTTGGTGTGCAGATTCTATGGTGAGCTTTGTAAGGACTTGTTCTCCTCTGATAATGAAGTTTCTACTCCAAACTTGCTACCCAAGTAAAACTTTTAATCAATAATGGAGTTTTTGCTTTGTAATGATCTCTTGAGTTCTTGCTTTTTCTTATTTTCCAGTTTAGACTTTCATATAAAATTCATTCAAATCCCTCTCTTTTGGTGGAAGATTGGTGAGAAAAGATAGCATCTGCTGTAATTTGTAAATAGAAGTTCCACTGCTACCAGAAATTTGAATTTTTTATATGCACAACATTGTCGTCAAAGCTCAATATTCAAAGCCACATAAATATATGTACAAGTGAAAAGAGAATTATTTTAATTTTTCTTTGCATTGACTTGGTCACTGCTAACTTTTTTAGAAGAGAGACATGGAGGAAGGAGTTAACAATTTTTTTTTATTTTTAAAAAATTATAGTCAAACTTTAAGTGACGAACAGGTGAATATAGGTGTCATTAGTCAACGTCCAAATATTACCTTTTTTGTTAAGAACACAATTTTCTTTTCAACGAATAAGCAACCACAAACTTTGATTTGGAAAAATGAACATTAATATTTATTTCATATTGAATGCGATACGACCAAGATTAGGTGAGACTATGGAGGAAAAAAAAGTGAAGAAAAAAATATTTGGAAAATTAGTGTAGATTTCACTCTATACTGTACTTATCCGTACTTTTTCTTTCAATATTTGATTTACATAAGTGACGGCAGAAAATCTTATTTTATTAGAGAAGAAATCATATTAAACTAAAAGAAAATGTCAGGCCGAAAGACACCTAGATTTTTCTTTTTCTTTGGGTCATTTACGACCATTTCTGTAATTATTGGGTAAGGGAAAAAACTGTGGCTCTATGGCACTTCAGGCTTATAATTTGGGCCCCTAGCCCAGCCCACGATGGTCCACTAACATTTGCTGAAATGCTTCGGATAAATCTTTTGCAAGGGTACTTTTGTAAATTAATGACGGACACATCATATAAAATGAGGGTTGGGGCTCTGCCGCCAAGGTTTTCGAATTGGTCTCATGGTGCCAATGCTCTCGAGGATGGAGAGGGAGCGAACGACGGTTTCGGAGATTAGGGTTTCAGCTGACGGAAGAGAGAGAGAGTATCCATGGAAATACTCTTGAAGCGGCGATTGAACATGTGGATTGCGAAAACCTGAGGGGATCCTGATGGTAAATTACAACAGTAATTTTATAGTTTTCAATCTGAATCTTATACGATTGCTGCTCGTTGTTTCCGCTCTTTCTCTCTCTCTCTCTTCCTCGCTGTCTCTGCTCTGCTGCTTTGCTCGTTCGCTCCCTTCGGAGCCTCGTGATGAAGCTTTTCTGAAGGTCTCGCTCCGTCCTCTCCTTAATTTTTCTGTTATATAATTTTGTGTGTGTGATTGATGATTGAAATCCGCGTCTACTTGTTCTTCGGTCGTGAGGAATTGTGTTTACTTTGTTTGGCTCACTTCTCGATTTTCTTTCCGTGTTTACTTCTCTAGAAGAGTGTAAATCACAAACCATAGGAAAATAGTATGAATTTTGTTTTTTAAGAAATATAGATATGAATGTGTTGAGTTATGGATTGTCGGAGGGCATGAAGGTGTTGTCATATCTGAAAGATTTTTAAATCAACTGTAATGTTTATGCCTCGTTTTCAGACTAGAGATTTTGATGTTGAAGGGTTCACATGATTGCGATCTTATTGAGGAACTGGTTTAAGATTTTGAGATAGGAAAGTGATTTTTTCACCACTCAATCATTGGTCTGTATTTTCCTTAATATTATGGTTGAAAAATATGACAGTCACTTGAAACCTTTTCCGGAAGAGGAACTAATAATTGTGCAGAAGTATGAGCAAGTATGTTGACGTAGCCATTGGTTTGGACCATTTAGTCTTTAAACATGATGCAAATTGTAACAGTTTATCTTACATTTGAGAACCCGCGCTAAGCCTCTGACTATCCCTGAAGGTACAGTTTCATCCAGGTTTAGAAAAGAGGTTAATCTACATAGAAGCAATGAATTACCATACTCCATTTGTTGGAACTTCTCCATGCCTTTTGAGCTTGTTCATCATCCATGTAGGAGAAAGAGTCAAATTCAAACTTATTTAATGTAGTGTTGTGCCGAATCTTCTATTTGCTTGCCATGGTTGTGACAGGATTAAATTTATCAGAGTTTCTTGTTTTCTCTCTGTGAGTCTTACAAATTTGATTTTTACCCTTTATCTTTGTTATATAATTCTATGCCCTTTAAACAATGCTCATTTTATTTTACGACTCAATTTTTAAATTGTTATATGTTCATGTAAATTGAGATGGACAATCAGTTGGATTATGGAAATGTGCTGGTTAGCTTGAAAACATTAATATTTATTAATGTTAACTCTGATTAGGATATTTGAACTGTCTTTGTGGGAAACAGATAAGGTCCTCCAACTTCACTAATTAGATTCACTTAGTAGCCTAGGCCAAGGGTGACTAATTTTGAACATTTTCTTACCATAGGTTGCTTTCTTTGTGAAAATTGACATCTAACCAAATGTTAGCTCTGGCTCATGCAAGAGGAAATTTAGGTTATTTGTTAGGTCAAGTGTCACATTCATACTGCATTGCTACTTTCTTTTGTATTTGTTGATATTTTGTGCAATGAACCCTGGAAGTACCTGGATTTTGAGTGGCCAGAAGGTGTGATTTCATCTTTCATAGCTCATGCATCTATTTTATTGGTATATTAATTTTTTGAAGAAATTGGTACGGCAGATCTTGGTGATTTGTGATGGGCAATTAATTACTTGAACCTTGGTGCCTTTTTTAGCTAAAAGCAGTACGACTTGTCCATAGGTTAACCATTAATCCCTGTTTTGTTTTTTAACCAAAAAAGATTGCTAATATTTAAAGATAGCACTTCAAGATTTCTTTTCAAAATGTCGCTAGTTTAATTGTTGTTCCCGTGATCCCATGTTAACTTGAGATTAGCAATTGTCTTAGTTGACTGCAGTCTACCCACGGCCACAGGACTTCACAATGATATTGATATGCTTGCATGTTTACTGAGGCAAAAGGAGTGCATGTACAAGATGCTTGAAGGGAACGCATTTGTTCGTAAGCCCTATACCATGTGAAGATCTTGGATCATTTTTTTTCCCTCTGAAAGGAAACAGTCTAGATCTTGAATCTCGGTAAACATATTGTTCTTTTATGAAAATCTTGGAATTTTTATGTAGGTGTTTTAGGGGGCATTAATTGTAATTTTGGTCATTTTAATTATTTGTCTAAATCTTGTTATGCTTTACTTAGTTTACTTGGGGTTAAATTATTTTGCCCCATTAGATTACCGTGCAACTATCTCCTAATTCCCCACAACTCAGCCTATATTTTATGCTTGGATTCCCCGATAGAAATTTCTTTATTTATTTTTCTTTTAATTAATAAAATAACCCCTTTTCTGTAGGCTCCACCAATCTTGATATCTAAGCGAGAGAAACACTGCGGTGTGCCTTGAGAAAATCGGTAGTTAAGGAAGATGTAGGTTCCTGTCCTGGTGTGCTTTTGACAGCAAGGCTTGATTTACATCTCTTTCTTCCCTTGGAACCCAAACCCAATAGGGGCCCAAAATAACACCTTCAAGCAAGAATATGGTCATTAACACAAAGGACTCACGACCACAAGTGCATAAAGAGATATCGAGTTTAACATTAATATTAAATTTAATTAGCATCGGGGGCCTTGGCCTTGTGAGACATTCTTCTAGAGTCTATGCTATGTGGATGCATGTGCCATGTATTGGTGATTGTACTTGATTGTAGATGTGTTCACGGGTTGGGTTGGGTTATAGGGATTTTTTGGACTAACCCAAAAATTCGGGTTTGTTGAGTCTGCTACCCGAAAGACCCAAGTGAAGTTCGTAACCCAACCTAACCCAACTCTCATATTTTCGGTTGGGCCAGGTTGGGTTGGAATTTCAGAGGGAGGGAGATGAGGGACAGGGAGAGACGAG